TTGTGGGGTCAGTATTTAGATGTTGAAGCATGGTAGCATTAGCAATCATGGATTTAGCTTTTTCGAATGCTACTTTAGCATCAGAAGGTAACTTAAATATTTGGTTTTTTTCTTTCTTGGTACCTGATTTATCATTTTTCAGTAAATCTGTCAATGGCTGTAGTACATCGGCGCAATTTGGTAGAAATCGACGATAAAAATTGCATGTTCCCAGAAAACGACGTGGTGATTTTACTGAGGTTGGTTCTGGGTAGCTGGAGATGGCTTTGACTTTTTCTTCAAGCGGTTTAATTCCTTGGGAATCAATATGGTGTCCTAGGAATTCCAGAGATGAGGCTCCAAATATGCACTTCGAAGGGTTGATTACAACACCATAACTTTTGAAACGTTCAAACAGCGTGTGTAAATGCTGGACATGTTCTTCAGTGGAAGAACTAGCGATTAAAACGTCGTCGATATAGACAAATACAAATTCCAAACCTCTAGTTACTTCATCCATATATCTCTGAAAGGTTTGAGCGGCGTTTTTTAGTCCGAAAGGCATCCTCAAAAATTCAAACAAGCCAAAAGGTGTTATTACAGCTGTTTTTTCGATATCTTCAGGCGCCATCGGTATTTGATGGTATGCTCGTACTAGATCTAACTTTGAAAAAATCTGTTTTCCATGTAAATTTAAAGAAAAATCATGTAAATGAGGGATTGGATACCTGTCTGGGATAGTCTGGTTATTTAGTCGGCGATAATCTCCACATGGGCGCCAGTCTTGATCTTTCTTGGGAACCATATGCAACGGCGAGGCCCAAGGACTGTTAGATTGTCTGATTATCCCAAGCTGCATCATGTGTTCGAATTCTCTCTTAGCGAACTGCAACTTGTTTGGTGGGAGTCTTCGCGCCCTAGCACGAATGGGTGGTCCTGTAGTAGAGATATTGTGTTGAACATGATGTGTGGAGCATTCGTTTTGGTAATCAGTTCTGGTTATGCTTTCGTACTTCGACAGGATATCAGTGAAAATTTTGTTTTCAGGTCTTAACATTCGAACACCATGAATTTCGTAATTCGAGGCAGGAGTGCCACTGACCTGCAAACTTGTGTTCTTGTCAATAAGCTTCTTTTTCCCCATGTCTACCAATAGGCTGTAAGCACCAAGAAAGTCGGCCCCGAGAATGGGTTGTTTAATTTCAGCTACGATGAAAACCCATGTGAAACGTCTACGGAGACCAAAATCTAAGATGAGTGATTGTTCACCATAAGTTTTAATGACTGTGTTATTAGCAGCGACTAGAGACAATTTAGTACTTTGCGAGTGCCGTCGTTGAGAAAGGTGTAATGGGACTATGCTGATTTCGGCTCCTGTATCGACCAAAAAATCTGAGCCCGAAATCCGATCCCTGACGTGAAATAGACGGCTCGGGTAGTGGCCAGAAACAGGCGCCGCCATCACTGTCTGGCCGTCTCGTTTCCCTGGTCCTTTGGGTTGCTTATTTTAAAGTTGCATGGTTTAGTGCAACGGCGTGCCTTCTCCCCGAAAGTCGCGTGATACCAGCAAGTATCTGATGTCCGTTTGAGTGACCTAAGACGAGGTCTGGATACTGATCTCCTTCTGGACCTAGATCTGGCAGGTCGAGAATGTATGGTAGAAATAGTCGCTTGTAGTGCTGCTAGCTGTTGTGTTAACTGTGTTATTTGTTGTTGGATGCTGTTAGATGGGCTAATCGTGTCTCCACTAGAGGTCTGTAGTACATTCAAACGTTGGCTGTCGGGATAAATCTCCATCATTTTGTCAGCCATATCAGCTAGATCGTCGAGATTGACGGAAGTTCCTGATATGCTGAGAATTTGGGTGACATTCTGTGGTAAACGTTGAAACCACATCTGTTTAAGCAATGCATCGTCTACCTTATATGGCCCTGCTAAGTGTTTCATATGTCGGAGTAATTGCGAGGGTCTCTTGTCCCCCAATTCGCAAGAAGTTAGCAATTGCTGCAGTCTTCTCTCATCTGAAACCGAGGTGCGTTGGATTACGGCTGTCTTTAATTTATCATAAGGTTCAGCTTCTGGCACGTGATCGATTAAATCTCCGACTTCCGCAGCAATCTCGATAGGGAGTGCCCCAACTACATAAGCATACTTTGTTGCCTGAGATTTTATACCTCTAGCCATGAACAAAGCTTCGATTTGTGCAAACCAGATTCTTGGATTATTAACGCCGAACGTTGGTAGTCTTAAGTCTAAAATTGCGTTGATCGAGGTTAAGGCATTATCTTCTGACTGTGAAGAGTTAAAGGAGTTGATCAGTGGACTATCTATATCAATGAGTTTACCAGGAGAGTTCATGATGGCAAAAACAAATATAAATGAACTAGCGTGCCAAGTAATAAAAAAAATGAATATATATATAAACAGTAAACGTCTATAATGAATTCAAGGCTCACCAAATAATTGTGGTGGACCAAACAGATATGAACACAAAAAATATAAACAAAGTTATTAAAAATCAATAGTAATATTAATATATATAATTAATTGTCACAAATACAGTAAAAATTGGGGACGTTACTTAAATTGATCAGACGTCGCGTGTTAGGGTTAGGTCCAGTAAAGTAAATCCACAATTATAAATGTTTGTTGATTCTGAACAAGTTGAACTCTCTAATGATATAATCCAACGTTGAATGTGATATATTTCGGTTACAGTCTATAAATGAAGATAGAATTTGATTTAGACTTCGGATATCTCAATCACAAATGGAAGTAGAACGATGAGTGTGCGAGAAGCGTTGTATTTGTTAGCTAGCAGCGGTATGGCACGCAATGTAGCAGTACAACGGAAAGTGTGTTCAAGGTCATTTACTAAAACAACAGTTACAGTCATTTAATGTTAAATATACATACAGTGGAAGGCTGACAAAGTAAATACAAATAACATTGAAAACTATTTACAAAATAAGCTTGACAGGTCCATCTCCATCACGTCGGGCTCACCAAATAATTGTGGTGGACCAAACAGATATGAACACAAAAAATATAAACAAAGTTATTAAAAATCAATAGTAATATTAATATATATAATTAATTGTCACAAATACAGTAAAAATTGGGGACGTTACTTAAATTGATCAGACGTCGCGTGTTAGGGTTAGGTCCAGTAAAGTAAATCCACAATTATAAATGTTTGTTGATTCTGAACAAGTTGAACTCTCTAATGATATAATCCAACGTTGAATGTGATATATTTCGGTTACAGTCTATAAATGAAGATAGAATTTGATTTAGACTTCGGATATCTCAATCACAAATGGAAGTAGAACGATGAGTGTGCGAGAAGCGTTGTATTTGTTAGCTAGCAGCGGTATGGCACGCAATGTAGCAGTACAACGGAAAGTGTGTTCAAGGTCATTTACTAAAACAACAGTTACAGTCATTTAATGTTAAATATACATACAGTGGAAGGCTGACAAAGTAAATACAAATAACATTGAAAACTATTTACAAAATAAGCTTGACAGGTCCATCTCCATCACGTCGGGCTCACCAAATAATTGTGGTGGACCAAACAGATATGAACACAAAAAATATAAACAAAGTTATTAAAAATCAATAGTAATATTAATATATATAATTAATTGTCACAAATACAGTAAAAATTGGGGACGTTACTTAAATTGATCAGACGTCGCGTGTTAGGGTTAGGTCCAGTAAAGTAAATCCACAATTATAAATGTTTGTTGATTCTGAACAAGTTGAACTCTCTAATGATATTGAGGATGATACAGGTATTCAGTGTTTGACAACGCTTCTACCAATAACACCTTCTAATATGCTTTGTTCCCACCGAGAGAAATCAAAAGACAGAGTCGAGGAGATCGGAAGAGTGTATTTGGCAATAACCAATATATCGGGAATCTCTGATCTAATCTGGCTAGTGATTGCGATTGTTGTTGAGCACAGCGTGACAGCACGTGATCTGGTGCGGATGCATGACCGAGCGCCTTCAGCTAGATGAGTCCACTAAAACATATGGTCAGCATCCAATGTCGAAAACCTATTGAGCTATTTAGTTTGGGGATTTATTTACCGCTACAGATCACTCCCCCCCTAGTGGGGCAGTGATGACCCTAAGACGTGGCCAGCCAGAAGTTTAAACCCAACGAGTTTGTCGTTGGTAAACACTCTTCTGATAGCTTACTAAATTTAGCAGCGTCTGGTCGTCTTTCCTTACTATATGGGACCGGAGTACAACATAGTAAAAAAAGAAATGTACAATGAAAGTTTCGTATCCTCATAAACGTCATCGTTCTTTTCCAGCCGTCCTGGAAAAGAAGAAAGAAAATGTAAGTGCATGTCGAAAATACACTCGTATGTGCGTAAAAAAAAGGGAAAATAAACTCATGAAAACGTAACAGCGTTAAAAAAATCGTTTTTTTTTGTTGTTTTTTTTTTTTTTTTTTCGAGGAGATCGGAAGAGTGTATTTGGCAATAACCAATATATCGGGAATCTCTGATCTAATCTGGCTAGTGATTGCGATTGTTGTTGAGCACAGCGTGACAGCACGTGATCTGGTGCGGATGCATGACCGAGCGCCTTCAGCTAGATGAGTCCACTAAAACATATGGTCAGCATCCAATGTCGAAAACCTATTGAGCTATTTAGTTTGGGGATTTATTTACCGCTACAATATAATCCAACGTTGAATGTGATATATTTCGGTTACAGTCTATAAATGAAGATAGAATTTGATTTAGACTTCGGATATCTCAATCACAAATGGAAGTAGAACGATGAGTGTGCGAGAAGCGTTGTATTTGTTAGCTAGCAGCGGTATGGCACGCAATGTAGCAGTACAACGGAAAGTGTGTTCAAGGTCATTTACTAAAACAACAGTTACAGTCATTTAATGTTAAATATACATACAGTGGAAGGCTGACAAAGTAAATACAAATAACATTGAAAACTATTTACAAAATAAGCTTGACAGGTCCATCTCCACAAACTCATAGTTGGATTAGCAACTGAAATGCTCTTCTCGAGTAGTTGGTGAGAATTTTTAGGAGAAAGCAAACCTTATAAAAATACTTGCTCTTAGGATTAAAGCGAGCCAACTGGTACACTATTTTTTGTACTGATGACTGTGGATTGTACGCGCAACATTTTGCCAATCGCGGTACGTCAACATCGTATTTTGATTTGCTAGATATACAACCATTGCCATTTTTCTGGGGAACAGAAATTTGAAGCTGAGATCTACATGTTGAGGCAAACTAAGTGAAGAATAAGTAGTGATAAAATAAAGGTTAATACAACTTTCCAGATCATTCCATGAAATACGACGACCGTATATAAATAATCCATTTTCTCAAACTATAATTGTTAAATAATAATTGTTTCTCAAAATCTTGAAATCGACGGAAGACCATTGTTAGCAGACATAGCTTGTTGGTGTATGTTGTGTTATGTAAAATGGATCCGTCGCCAATACGCTAAACGGTCTTTTGAAACTACTTTCTAGGGTGTGTACATGTTTCATGTGTTTCAAAAAGATTTAAAATATACTGACTTGGCTGGCTAAATTCGATTTTAAGATAAATATGGGAATTATTCGTGATTGGTTTGTGAAAACCTACTATCTGAATTTTGGTGTTAGTCGAAACGAGTAATAAATGAACATTAAAAAAAGCTTAACAACACAATATCATGCATTCTGACAGCTTGTTTCGCATTTATGGTAATATTTGGCTGTCAAAATGGGTGTGACAATACTTGTCTATGTTACTGCTTCGGAGTTAATTATCTCCGGACGTTTATCCTCATCTGTTGACCATTATCACAAACGAGTAGTTCTCATTCTTTTGCAGCGCAAAGAATTGACCAGAATTACTCTGAAATTTAGGTACCGCTGGATTTCGATGAAGAATGCTATTTTTCTAACCATGCTCCAGTCGATGAAATTTGTTTGCCTAATCGGTGTAGAATTTTTTGTTACAAATGTATGACAGTCGAGACTACATCACTTTACAGTAGAGCGAGGAGAAGCCGAAAAGTGGGGAAGCAGATGTCAAAACCATATTAACAAATTAAAAGAATTAAACAAGAAGAAGTATTAAGGGAATGAATGACGTAGAGTAATTAAGAGTATATAGTAAAATTTTAAAGACAGGTATCATGTTACTGTTGCAAGTTGTCTCTATGACCCGACCAACATTTGACCTTTGAGCAGTAACCGAACCTTAAAATTATACTGACTAGGCTCATGACTTATTTCTTTAGGATTCTACAATATCAGAACACGGAATGTAGCAATTTTATTTAAACACATACATAGGTACAAGAAGACACCAAATAAGTATGCGCCACATAAATCATTCAATTTTTGTCAGGGTTAGGGTACTTCCCGGGTGCCCAAGCCAAAGCAAATGGTTTTCTTAGGAGGCCACACCTCGAGCTTTTGACCTAAAGGTCTGATCCACAAGGTAGTGGAGCAACGTCAGGAGATGCAGTCCCATGGTAGGCGGTGACCAACGATTGGTTCATGCACCATCTATCCCCTCAGGGTCCTGGTGCCCGTGTGTATCACTGGTTTGGAATCAGGGTCTTCCAACATCCCTACGTGGGTCTTCCATATCCACCAACCCAGTTGAAGCGCCGGACATTCGCTTTTTGTCCTCTCAATTTCTTAAACAACAGTAATACCACAATCAGGCGGTGAATAGGACTTCTCTGGTAGTGGTCGTATGTACGTGGCCATGTGAGAGCATTTCGAGAGGCAGAGTTCACTCACGGCCGTACATGTGCATTTGGGAGCATGTAGCAATTTAGACAGTAGTTATCACATGGTGTCAACTATGTGAAATTCGAGGTAGTTAGAATGTTTACCAATAAGTGGAGAAGAGTCCTGATGCTATAGGCTTACTATCTGATTAACTCCACCAACGGTATTCAGTTTCACTAGTGGAATTTAATCCATTAAAAAGTGTCGCGAGGCAGAAACACAATGTGGTGGAAAGAGGAGGGATTCGTTTCTAACAAATCAAATAGGCTTTTTACAACTGTGCTGCCGAATTGGTTAGATCCGATTGGGGTTGATGCTTAAAGAAAATTAAGGTTTATTAACATGTTCTAGGAATTACGTGTTACATCTAGAAGGTAATCTCGTAACCTTGGTTTGTTTTTCAAGACCAGCCAGTTAGTTCGTCACCAACTTTCAGACTATTTAGAACAAATTAATGTTCCTAAGAAACTACCCTTAAACATATCACCGCAAAGTCCTTTTATAGAGACACTAGCAATCAGTTTTGAATGTGGTAAACAAACAAATATTTGATTGAAAACTGTTATATGGTCTTCACCAATAAGGAACCATCAATTTACATGCACTAAATTAATTGCGTTGACTTTTTGGTGACAAAGAATCTCTAACTTATCATTTAGACACAAACTTGGTTGCGCTTGGATAAACAGAAAATCGCATGTCTAGATGCTATAGGTATAAAAAGCAACAGAAAATAGATTCAATCAATTAAGTGGAAATGTGGGGATTAGCATTAGTGGTTCTAATTTCATTGTTCAAACTAGGCTTATGATTTTGGAACTAAGTCCACAATGTAACTGATAATCCACAAAATTACGAGTTTATTTATTCATTGTTGGCACCAGGTTTCATGAACAAAACACCGATATGTGGCTCTAATAATATTCCTTTATCTAGAACGTCCGCATGACTCAACTAAGGGGTCTTGTAGTATTTTACCTTGAAAGCTTCGCTAAAAGTACGTAAATCTTCCTAAATCCTCTGATTTGAAAGCTTGATCGTGTTAGAGTTTGTAACAAAATGTTCGCTGAGTCAGTAACTTGAGGTATCTGTCCCATGTTTTCACTTAACTCCATTATATATACACACCTTCCCCATCTACCTTTTGAGACCTATCTTCTACTTTCGCAGGTTACAGTCCTGCTTAATGAAGATAGTGACAGAATGTAGCCTTTGGAATCTTTTGAGTAACAATTCAAGGATGTTTAGGGTATGTTTCCTTATCAATGTAATACTTAAATTCAGAGCTGGTCTTCATCAACATCTAGACTGATTATAGGCAGCAAAACTATTGTGCACGCTAACTACACTTTTCCTGTTGAGTATCAACCTAGGTTATTTGATAGCTAACAAAGTCTTGGGACATATTAAAAAACTTTTCTCTGTCCTTGCCAACTTGCTTCACTTGGAAATTAGATATGTCTGTCAGCCAAGGGGTATGTTGCACACCCATCCTATCTGTGTTACTCTATGTTTATGAAACATAGTCTGTGAAAGTAGAAAATATGTATAGACTGCAAGTTTCTGATCATAAGTTTCTTCGAAGCATTGGCTGCGTATCGTAGAACAACCGAGTGAGCTGTCATGAGGTTAGACGTACCATACAATATGGTTAATTGTTTGATGAGGCTGTGAGGTGTATTATATATCCTCAACCATCATGAGATTCAAGGCCCTTAGGCATTTCGGCCTCTAAACAAATCGCAAGAAAGCTGGCGGCAGTCAAATTAGGATATAACATTAGTCCATGGGGTCATTGATTGAGAACTTCCTGGTTGGAGACATCAGTTGACGTGGCTAAAATTTGGTCGTATCGGTACAAATCTATTCATTTATCTTCTTGTCAATTTTAAATCTTAACACTTGAAACCTTATGTTCCTCTGTTTCATCCCTTTTCGGAACTCATGTTTGATTGTTTTCATAATCATTGGCATTACTATTACCTTGATTCATCTCCCATGCATTTTGCTGGTTTCATACCTCTGTGATAATATGGTGTGTCAAAGTAGGCTGATGCATATTTGTGCCAAGTCATGACGGGCTTACAGTACTATCGTCCATTTATGTAGTTGATAGATGACTTTCTACTGCGATCCCATTAGCAAATGCAAATTCTATTTCCAAGCTCACACATAAAACCACATTTACGGGAGCGTAAAATGACCTTATTAAATCACCAAAAGATCCTCTTGGCGAGTTTCGGATGTTTACTTCATTGATCAAGTGCGTTCAAGTGAAGTTGAGGAGTAACACTTCAGATTTTTGGCTAGAGAGACGTATCTTCCATTTGTACATGGTATCTAATCACTGAGAACTTAAGTATGTCGTTTGAACTACGATTTCCATCGCAGAGTATGAAGTAAAGGTGGTAATTCGGTCTGTATAGTATTGAGGACACACCACGCACATACAGTTGCCAATAACTGCAACAATACACTGTTTAACATAGAAGTATGCTAAAATAAAACCGAATGGTTACATCAGAATGACTATGGTATGTGAAGTTATTAAATAATATGCTTAATCGTTTCAGAATGTGCAGTTTTCCCAGTAGGGATTCGGGAGACAGTTGTTATTTAGGGTCGGACTGATGAAGTTGTGTTCATTTTTCATTCTCCCTTTTAGCCTTGAATAGTGTTGCTTCATATTTCTCATTCTTCGACTACATTGATTCTTTAGACTACCTCTTATTTTTCATCATTCCCACCACTCTTGGTCTTATTAATTTAAATTTTACTTTTACACCTGTCGAGTTCTTGGTATTTTGTGTTTTGCAACCTGGGGTGTGACTAATCTGTAGTATATCCTGTTTTTTTCGCCTGTCTACTGAAGTGTTAGAAATTTAAGTCAAAATGTTTGTATTGAAAGTAAGGATTTCGGCTGTTAATATCAGGACTAATAATTAATGCCATACATTACATTGTTGTATCATTTTATATCGTAAAATTACAGAAGTTCCGTTTGTTGTTCTTTCGAAGTCTGATTAAAAAACTACATTTTTCAGCTTTATCCAATGGAAGCTGACAAAGAGCCGTCGATCAACATAGACAATTCAGAAATAGTTGTCCTTAGTTCAGATGATGAAAATGATTCTCAAAATTCTCATGACAATATTTCAAATGAAAAACTTTCAAGCAGTGTTATATCTGTCGAAGATGATGATGATAATAATACTAATAATGACGAGTCTGCCGAAAGCGATTGTGAGATCTTAAATGTTGAAGAGTTGCAAGGTGAAGAGAAGTGGCGTGATATTCATGGTATGTCTATGAAACGCTAATATTTAATTTGTGACATCCAATCACTAATTATTGAAGTGGTTTTTTATACAAACTTTAGTGAGGATTAGTTTAAATTTCTCCTATGCTCTTTATCACTAACAGTAGTATACTTCGTTCAGTTACCTCGTATAAATTATCTGGAGTATGTAATGGTATTCGGAGAGTAAGCAAATTATTTTACAAACCATAAATATCACAAACATAGGAAAGTATGTAAACTCAAATCACCACAATTCCCCAGAGCTTAAAAAGAGGATCAACAAAGTTTAAAAAAATTAAAAAAAAAGAAAAATATAAATCGAGAGGGGAACGTAATGAACTAGTAATTAATTTTTCATGATCTAAGGAATGAAGGGATAATATATTTGCTCTATTTTAACCGAATCTGATCTATGTATCTATGGCTTCCGACTCCCGACCGTAGCTGCTATCTTGACGCGGTGGTCGGGCTTGCCTATCGTGATGACCCAACCGAGCTATATTGTTTGGAACATATGTTCCTGTAGGTTCTACTATGCCAGGCTGGTCGATTGGAGAACGGTAAGACTAAAAGCAGCAACTCAAGATCTGAGGGCGAAGTCGTACTGCTGACTGTAGAGGGGTGTGACAGCAGTAAGGTGTTTCCCTCGGACAACCAGCATCTGCAGCCGTGCTGCCTTCTCAAAAGGAAGGTAGGGGTTAGAAAAGGTTGACCTTAAACATGCCACACCTCACCTTACCTCACGGATTTCCGTCTCCGGCGGTAAGGCCCTTTGAAGAACGGAGCTAACACATTAATAACCTCCCACGAAAAGACCATGCGCGACCGGCCGCAAGCAGTTGTCCCTTGGGCTCTGCGGTCACGCTCCCAGGTTGTTAAGACCAACAATGATCGGATTCCCTTTTCAGGTCCCTCAAGAAATACCCTTCCACGGTGTGGGCAGCCGGGAAGTGATATCAGCCCACATCCCCGTAACAGCACATGAGACCAAGTCGGTCACATTCAAATCCTTCCTACACCTAATATCTCTCTTATCTCCACGACCAACCCTTCTCACGTCCCTTTATCACCTCACACCACTAGGGCAAATAATTCGAGTACACGGAACGTTATTCCTGGTCTCCTGAAACCACGGTGTAAACTACACGTAGGAGCTTTTAACGTCCGAACACTGTGCCAAATAGGACAGCAGGCTTCCTTAGCTAGGACTTTAGAATCTCGCGTCATTGATGTGTGCTGCGTCTCCGAAACGCGCATACAGGATCCGAGTAGCGTCATTCATTTGGCCTCACTGTGTCAAAGTAAAGAACCAACTTGATTCACACTTCGTGATTCTGGAAGCTCTGATGCTGCTTCCCGTGGCCTCGCTGGCATAGTTATAGCATTAGGTCAGGATTGGGTTGCATCGACACCCAAACTAATGATAGGGAGTGTAGTAATTGAGCGTGTCGACCTCCTTACTTATCTCGTAAGTCTCATCAGCCCTTGTGGTCTGGTGTGTGACGAAATCTCAGCACGGATACAGAAGGCTCGACTAGCTTTTGCCAACTTATGTCATTTATGGTGTAGGCGAGATATCCGTCTACCAACCAAAGGACGTGTTTACTGCGCAGCAGTTCGTTCCATCCTACGTTATGGCAGTGAAACATGGTCGGTAAGAGTAGAGGATATTCGTAGGTTACTAGTATTTGGTCATAGGTGTATTCGAAACACTACTCGTATATCCTGGGACCATCGAGTAAGTAATGCAGTTGTTAGGAAACGGGTACTACGTAAGGATGGCAAATCAATTGATGAAGTAGTGAAACTTCATCAGTTGAGATGGCTGGGACATGTGTTACGTATGCCCAACGACCGACTGCCTCGACGTGCGATGTTCTGTGGTATAGGAGTAGGTTGGAAGAAAGCTAGGGATGGCCAGACCAAAACATGGCACAAATGCATGAAGTCACTGACAAGTGGACTGAGTCATGTTGGTAGATGTAGACTACCTGGTTGTGGACCGCGAGATGATAGCAACCGATGGTTAGAGACCTTGAATGACATGGCTGAAAATCGTTTGCAATGGCGCAAGTAAATCCACTTTTTGTGCTCTCTCAGATTCTAATCTTCTGAATTCTTCATATCCTTGATTTTTTTCCAAATTTATTTCACTGGATTATACTACTTGAATAACATCTTCAAACCCTAATATTTCCAATGACTGCTTATATTCTTACTGCCTCTATCACTACGGGATTTGAATAGACAACTGCATCTCTGTGCTAATATGGTATGGCAACTTGAACTGATGTACGTACGTAAGTACGAAGTTCTACATTGTTACTGACTGATTGACTGGCTTTTAACTACCCTTTTCTTCGTTTAGAACCTCTGTACTTCCACTCAGGGCTTAGAAAAATATTCAATGACTTTATGGAGTAGTCCTATTTCCTGTCCTTTCTATTTTTAGTTTCCATCAAATAACTAATGTATTTCTTAAGATTTCTTGATTCTCTAATCTCTTCATGAAATTGGAAATCGTTATGCCCCTACAGTTTGTCGTTTCTTTAGTCTGAGATAGTTAAATCTATTTTGTTAGGAGTATTTATGCCAAATATGCTTTATAAAAATTTTAACAAAGAATCATTTCTATGATACTATCTAAAAAAGAGAGTTAACAACAACAAAAACTATCGTCTTATATATTAACCTTTTCACTGTAATAATGTTACAGTTACTTGAGTTGACACCATTTCCTTAAATTTCTCCTCCTGAATAATCAAACCTCATCCGACCTACTTCGGTTTGGTCAGCCGTACAGTATCACTAGTTCAAGAGCCGAACAAAAATACATGTTACTTAATAAATGATTTTCACTTTTGACAACAGAATAGCTTTAAATGATCTTTCGCACATAAGGTCTTGTTCTTTTTCTACGCTCATAACTTCGTTTGGAACTCTACCCTTAAGCGTACAAAAATTCTTACTGAGAACTTCGAATTCTACAGAAACGTTTCATCATAAGATGATATGTGGGAGATTTGTTGAAATGAGAGTCGCTAAACTGTCGTTATTTTCCAGTTTTGGATATGTAACTTGCATGTCATATGGTGTAGAGGCTGCACAAGAACCCAAGCAGAACAGATGGTTCTGCGGTTAGTATTAGTTTTTGGTGACAATTAAATGTGCACCAATTAGTATTCATAGACACCTTGTTTAAAACATGTAATAGGCAATTTATTTTCCTCGTTGATCATTCCTATCATACTTAATTCTATGATTGATTATTGGTAATAATCGTACGAAAAAGACAAATTAATAGTAGAGATTGCCATTTCAATTACGTTTCGGGACAAATCAATTATTTTTTGTTCAAACATTATAGTTTTTTTCACCTTCAATATGAATTTATGCGACAAAATTTTATGTTATCAAATGAATTCATTCCCATTTGATGTTTGGTTAGCGTAATGTGAACAGGTGGTTTGAATTAGTTACTTATCTCTGTTTTCGATCTCTAATTCATTGATTAATCTAAATTTTACTAGAAGGAGTTAGCATTCCGATTATTGATTTGTCATGTCAAACCACTTTCTTGTTGCCAGTATATATATTTTGTGCATATATATCGATATCACCACTATCTTTTTTGATAATGTATGTTATTATCTAAAACTGCAGAGCATAGGATAGGTTCAACGGAAAGGTGACTTATGACACCATAAATATTTCCTTATATGGAATATGGGCCTGTGGATATCTATCAGTACAATTAGAAGTAACAGCACATCACTTCTGTTTGGTTATCAATATTCTCCTCAGATAAAGTGATTTATTTCGTGGTGCTGTATTCGGGTCTTTGGAAACACTAGATTCCTGTGTATGATGGGTCCTACGTAAAATGAAACGACATAGATCAAAGTTCTAGCAATTATACTTCATTTGTTACTTACACTGCATACTTGCGTTCAGAAACGACTGATTTTGAGAAATCTTAATATCCTTTGCTGAATGTTAAAGTGTTGTTTTACGGTCAACTCTCACTTTTCTGTCTTCACACTAATCCCATTAATGTACGTGTGTAACAAAATAACCATTCAAGTAATAAACTAGATAACTAATGTTATAAATAGAGTTCAAATGTATAGCCAAAATTTACATCAATATATTTTCGTGTATTAGCTAATTCAGGATTAACTGTATCATATAACGCTTTAAGAACATTTATCTATCATATGAAAGAGCTTGATTGTTATAGCTGCTCGGGTAGGTAAGATCTATTATTTTAGATCCGTTTATCACGTGTTTACGTTTTTTGTTTTAATCTCACATTTTTACTTCCTTATTCTTTCTCTGCAGTAACTTTAACCAAACTGCTACTTCAACTACGTATACTTTTAATTTAGTGTTTTTATTGGAATAGGTTTTGTCTATGGTTATCATGTTCAGTATTTCTGTAGTAGATTCATCATAATGTTTTATCTAACTTTCTCATTTTGTCTGATTAAATGTAATGTAAGTACTAATTGCTCCTATTATCTAAATCGCATCAGGTCCCTTCAAGCGACTGAACAGGCTCATACAAGCTGGCTTTAATGATCCACGGCTATTGTTGGTTCGTGTTTTTGGGATGGATGAAAACTCTTTACCATCTGATCCTAACCAATTATTAAGTTTATTATTGACACTGTTGGCCGAACCTGCTCCACGACGTAGACTGCGCCGTATAAATAGTCTAGAAAAAGTTCTGTCTCTTCTGTCTACTTGTACATCAATCCTCGTAATCACTGGTGCTGGGATTTCAGTGTCATGTGGAATTCCTGATTTTCGTTCTCGTGATGGTATTTATGCTCGCTTATCTCGGGATTATCCAGATCTATCAAGTCCACAGGCAATGTTTGACATGTCATATTTCAAACGAAATCCTATTCCTTTCTTTAAATTCGCCAAGGTATGGTTTATTTTTCTAGAAATCCTACTTCACTACACGTAACATTGATAATTAGTATGATAAAAATTTACTGATTAAAATTGACATAGATATTGAAATGCTGTAATACTCTTCCTTCATAATAAGGATCATTTCACGAATATGCATTAATTTATTTAAATGGATTATAATTGTTAAAACGATAACATTTAAACAATGTAATTCAATTATCGCTTGTATCTTTCAATCAAAGTTAGCCAAATGTTACGAATTTTGTTTACTTTGGTGGACTACTAAAATTTAATGAATGAATATCTTCGGATAGTTTTGCGATATTTGTCATTTCTTTTAAATAACCTAAATATTTTTAAAGATATTTTGTCTTTCATAAGTTTTTTTGGTGAGACTATAATTTATGGACGATCTTCGAACGATGCTGAAGTGACTATGAGAAAATTCAGCCACTTGCTAGGGTCAAAAGTGGGTTACACATTAATGTTAGGAAATAAGATTGGTATTCAGAGTAAGAAAACAGGGTTATTAATTAGAGTTGGGGTTTCCATCACAAACTGACATAAGTTATGATGGCAGAATGCTATTTAATCATATAAATGATTGAATTTTGCTCAAAAATTCAAGACTTGCTATCTTTAATTTCATTGATTCGTCCGTGGATTATGGTTTCGCTGGTTTGTTCTCATAGCGTTGAGAAAAGTAAATAAATTAGCATTCTTAAATTTTGTCGAATTTTACAATCATTTCTTTTTCACTGCGTCACAAATTGTCCATTTTAATCTCCAATATCTACCAAAGATAAAAAATTGTGCATTATTCGAAGCCTTCTGACTAAATATACTTGCTTGACTTTTTTTCAAGCTGTTAACAAATAACAAGTTCAGAACGTTTCCAAATAATACCGACTATTAGAAGTCCTGATGATTTGTAATCCATTCCTGTCATATCAAGTGGTATATGTACACCATACTGTTTTACGTTTGTTTAATTTGTTGTGTTATTTTCACCATATATCATTATGAAATAGAACAACTTAGGTTTTATGAATGATATGTTTATTTGATTAACTGATCTGATATGTTGATTAGTCTGGATAAAATAGGAGTGGTTAATACCATTTAAAGCAAATAAATATTATGTTGCCGTTATCACAGTCTAAATAAAACAGAAAATTACACTTCTGGAACTCAAATACATTGACGATATCGTTGTATTTTGAGACACAGAACGACAGACAATTATTCAATATTTTGGGACAGTTTCTTTTAAGAAAGAATGTAAACTGACATTTTGAAAATTACGCTTGTTCGTGTAGGGATTTAGTTCATTGGTTTGTAATGGTTAAGAGATTTGTGACTCGCCATTTTTATGGTACACGATTGCTGCAAATATTACAGTACTAGACAATTTTTTGCTACATCATGTGTGATGCTTACATAAAAGAATGGTTATGTTGATTATGTTCATTTTATTTCTTTATCTTTACCGTTAAAAAACTTTAGGAGCTCTTCCCTGGTCAGTTTTCACCCTCGATTACTCACCGGATGATTGCTTTATTGGAGTCCAAAGATAAATTATTGCGTAACTACACACAGAATATCGATACTTTGGAACAGGCCGCTGGAATTACTCGACTTATTCAGTGTCATGGTGTGTAAGGGATTGATTGTTAGGTTTCATGTTTACCATAATATTTCTACTCTGTAATATTTCTTTGTCTTCATTTCTATGTTTAAACACAATGCGGTGAACGGTCTCCAACAACTCGTTAGACTTTCTGGTCTTCATTACTCTAATAACGTTTGGACATAGTATTAAAAGAAACGTGGGACAATTTTGTCTGTGGATTTATTACGAAACCAACCACTTTTATAGCATAAGTATTAATTATCGAAGTCAGAGTAGTATTGAACTTTTTGGAGATTCCAGGTGAGTTTTCGTAAGTAATAATTATTAAATAAAAGAGTTGGTTGAATTAAAGAGAAGCGGAGTACGGGAAAACTGAGTCATTCTAACCAATTTCATGGAAAATCTGTCTCAAAATAAAACCAATACTAGAATTGTTCTTATTCTCACCTCTGGTTTGAACACTCGATACTTATATTTTAGTTTACTGCTTTCAACTCTATCTTTATTCCATCGAGAAATCTCTAATGGAGATCAATGGTACAATTAACGTTTACGTAATTAGCTTATTGCATTGATCTATACTTGGTCACTTTTAATGCTTAACTCGTAATTTAAAAAATAGTTGATTATCTTAAAAATATCGTAATAAATAATCTCAATGTATTTGTTTATATTCATTTCAAACAGTTGAACTTATGAAAGCAAATATCTAAAATTAATTTTTCGAGAAATTCAAAGGTGATTAACCTGAGAAACATGATATCAACCTGTCAGTTCGAAGTAGCTATAGTAAAGTCGGTAGAAGTGTAAGCCTAGACCAGAAATATCCAACTTGATCATCTCCAGAACTTACAGAATTACTATGCAATTAGTCAATATATACAGACAGAATTAATCTGGAAAGGTAGAGGGTTTATGATAAATCATTTGCTACACTTAGCTTACATGTCTGTGTTTATTTCATAGTTGTCAATCCAAGGTCATTGGGACTAAGTTTACCTTCCAATATAAAGTTTTATCTTTCTCGGTCGATGAAAATGAATATAACTTTTATATATATCAGGTGCCATTGTGATTGTTGTACTATTTTATGTTTTTTTCCTGTCATTCAAAATGTTCAAAAATAAGCAATCAGTCCGAATTTCTTAATTCGTCGAATGCAATAATCAGCCGACAGACTGACAACTTATTCAAGTCTATTGTATTAATTCCGTTAAATTGTTCGTAAAATCAGTTGCAACAAAACGATCTGGGTCAGCATTCTGCTCAGTGTTTGAGTTACGATCAGAATCTCGTCAAACTGATCTTCAAAGCCCCCAAATGCCCTGGTACGGCCGAGAATGCGGAGAGTCCGCTCTCCCTCAAAATGCTCCCACATGGCCACGCGTATATAGCCCCTGCCAGGGAAGTCCTACTCACTGCCTTCTCATGACGGGGGTGTTGTTTACGAAATTGAGAGGACGAAAAGCGAATGTCCGGCGCTTTAACCAGGTTGGTGGACATGGAGAGTCCACCTAGGGGAGTTGGAAAACCCTGATTCCAAACCAATAATGTACATGGGCTCCAGGATCCTGAGGGACCAAATGGCTTATGAACCAATTATTGGTCACCGGTTACCATGGGACTGCATCTCCTGACGTTGCACCACTGCCTTGTGGATCCGACCTTCAGGTTGAAGGCTCCGGGTGTGGCCCCCTAACAAAACCACCTGCTTCGGTTCGGGCACCCGGGCAGTATCACAGCCCTCACACATATCAAATGAGATTTGTGTGGCGCATATGTATTTGGTGCCTCCTTGTACCAATATCTATGTGTTAAAATAAATAAATAAATAAATAAATAAATAAATTATTCCTAAGGGTCTGGGTTTTCCTATTGCTGATATTCATAACTAAATTTTGACCAATCTCTTTCGGGATATATGCAATCTGAATGGGTACCTTGATCTTCAACATATTCTTCACATTATCTTAGATTTTAATTCTGAGATTTGTTCCATTGGTTTATATTCCTCACTGTTACTTACAGTAAATATTACGTTTCATATACGATCCCAGTATGTTTAGACAACTTGAAGCTGGTTGTCTATACATCTTTTTCTTTGAATAGAACAAGGCTCTAATTTCAGTCATTACACACTCTCAATGTTAATATCTTTTATTTTGCTAAATTCGATTTTTACAGTTTTCTAATACTCTCCACTTATTTATTTATTGATCAATCAATCAATTAATCAATCAATCAATCAGAAAAAGTTTAGAAACGTATTGATGTTAATAGTCTTGAATTAATATTGTTTTTTTTATTTGTTACACCTTGATCACCATTAAAAAAGAATGAATATTTTTGTTATTTTGTTTTGTTTTAATTAAACAGAAATATATAACTTTCGTATTCAACATATCTATTTGTCATTGTTTATAATTTTTAATATTGAAATTTGTTATTTTCTATTTTATAAATGAAAATAGTTTCTAATTATGAATTTAAAATTTTATTATAATGATATTTTTCAATCATTATTATTATTGTTTTCTTTAACTTATATCAATTAATCATAATTGATTTATTGATTTATCACATTATTAGGTTCATTTGCATCAGCCACTTGTACAAACTGTAAATTAAAAGTTTCATCTGATTTTATTAAAGAGGCTATTTTTAATCAGTCTATACCACGATGTATAAATTGTTGGCCGTCAAAAATTGATTCGTCATCATTATTACCAGATGAAATGATTGATTCGGAGTCTACAAATCATTCATCTGATTTATCTACTGTAGAAGAAAATCCTAATAATAGTAACAATAATAATAATAATAATAGTAGTGATAATAATAATAATAATATGTCAGTTGATATATCTCCAAAAGTTAAATCGAAACGAACTAATAAATCTCGACGTAGACTAGCTTCATATGGTGTATTAAAACCGGATATCGTGTTTTTTGGTGAAGGTTTATCAAATGAATTTCATGACTCTCTTTCCAATGATATAAAACAAACGGATCTAGTTTTAGTTATTGGATCATCGTTAAAAGTTCGACCTGTCTCTCATATTCCTAGTAAGTATTATTGTTTTATTTTCGCTATGAAACTGATTACTATTTCCTTCATAAAGACTACCTAAATAGATTTACTTGACTCCACAAATGAATTCAAATGACATACATGATGTACATCACTTTTTGTGTGATTTATGTACGGTCAGATTAACTATCAGGTTTATTTAATTCTGATTCCGTTATATCATCTCTTGAAAATAAATTCGATCACTCCCCCTCTCTTGAAGAATGTATAACCTTCAGGGAGTAATGGACAACATCTTGTAGCTCTGCTCATCATCTGATTGACACAACTGAACATTAAAACTGAATGGTTATAATTTAATATGAATTTATAAGATATTTCATTGCCAATATGATTATATGAATGAAAAGTAATACAACATTTAGGGCTGATAATATGACTATTAAATTGATAAATACTTTTAAATAGTACACCAATGGATCCGATAATTTCATTATCACGGTTAGCAATATCTTGCATGACATTTGAGATTTCGTCGCGTGCTGGATTTGGGTTTAAATGTGAGTTGACTATGTTGCTGGTCATTAATTTGGCTGACATTCACTCTGAATCGGACTGGACAGTATTGAAGCGAACTTCTCCAACCTTTCCATCACTATCTTCTGAGATACTTCGAATAGCTACTTTTGCCACTTCAAAATGGATTGGAACTCTTCTGTTAATATTGATATTATTAATCTATTTCTCCATAGCCACTGTTATGTTTGTTACAAAGACTGTTGATATGGACTTATTTGTCCACGGAAATAGATCAATGTGATATATCCGTACACTACTTTCCATACGATCTATGTAAAGTGATGTGATTGTAAATTACTACTGCCATTCGAAACTTAATAGTTATACTTCTCTGTGACTTTATGCGTTGTCGTATAAAAATCTATTTCATATTTCCTAGAAGATCATTTACATTATATTATTATATTTTTCTTGACACAATTGTAGTAGCTTTGTAAACATAATAGCTACTTGGTGGACCATAATCTACAACTATTGTGTTTATTGGTTAGCTATTATGGCTGCCTATTCTAAGCTATGTAGGGTGTGTAGTCCTGAACCTGAGTGATAGTTAATCCATCTAAACCCTTGATTAGATCATACCTTCACAATTTCTTGTAACTTATTTCAACACTATTAGCTGTCATCCGTTTTCCATTTTCGACTTGATTGTTATCAGATTTTGCAATTTTAATTCAATATCTCAAAGATATTAACTCTGAAACATGGGACCGATCAATAGTGTAATGCTGTGCCTATTCATGACTCTATTCGCTAGCTTGAAATTAGTTTAAAGATAAGTACAGTATAAGATGCACAAATTAGTTACTTCATGCTATTTTGAAAACCTTCAAGATTAGTTTCGTACTGAATTTTTCTAGCACTTCTTGATGTTTCGAGATCTAACTTACTCTCTACTTCGAACCCATTTTATCTTTTTTTCTCAACACAGATGCTGTTCCTAGGCAAGTTCCACAAATACTTATTAATAGAGAACCTTTATCTAATCATGATTTCGATGTTGAATTGCTTGGAGATTGTGATATAATTGTCAGCGAATTATGCCATCGATTGGGTTGGGAAGTTTCCGGATTATCAGACTATACACCTCTTACTGAAATTCCTTTAAATTCGCTAAAAAATACAACTGAACCACTAAAATCTGATGAAAAATCTCCAAATATATCTCATCTCATTGCTCAGGACACAGTGTCTTCGGACTTAGTGAACAATCAATCCCAAATAAATAATTCAGAAGTTGATGGAAAGACTTGTACTTCTACTGTTGTTTCTACGCCTGATAATTCTTCAGAGGTGATTAATAAGAATTCTCCGAATGATGCAGTAATTGAAGTTAGTGAAGATGAGGAAGATGGAGAGTGTGTTTGGGAGGTAGCGTCAAGTTTACCACGTAAGTAGTTTATCATTTTAATATATAACTATTACAAAAATATTTTTTAACCTTCTGTTGAAAAAACACTATTACAATTTTTAGATATATTTTCTAACCGGTATATTTTTGCATCCTTTTTTATTGTAATAATTTCATTGTTGTTGTATAAAAATCTAATTACATAGTATCCATAGTAAAGTAAACAAGACATTGGCATTTAAACTATGTAAAAAATGGACTAATTACATTTTTTGAATATAAAATGCACTCATTATCTGAATAGTCAATAGAAGAACCTTTTCTTTTAAGTTAAATAACATAGATGGTCCCTTTTACGATTGGTAGTTATATTTTCTCATTGTTATTGTTAAATCATTGTATAGAGTTATTTTGTGAAGCGCAAAAGCAGTAATCTCGACTCACACTGGGGTGTACTTGGGTTTGTTTGTAAAAAATGGTATCAGTCATCCGATTCCCTGAAAATCAGAAGTTGAGGGTTTGGTATTTTGGATATTCGAATTCCAATTATAGAGCTGTGAGTTCAAATCAGTCATTTCGCATGGAGCAAGTATGGGTAATCACAACTGAGTGAATAGCAAATAGATCAGAGTAATGAGTAGTATTAATGATAATAAGAAAGATTAAACATTTAGAATATGGTTCTAAAATAAGGAATATAACAATAGAATAAGATTGTGACATCTACTATGATGAAGTTAATTGAAAAAATGAAGATAGTGGATAGCCATGTCGAGCGATTCGTCAAGTTGTTGATTCCGATGATAGTTTGCTGTAAGATGTAATTCGATCAGGTGTTCAAGTAAAGAGTCTATAGAAGGGGTATACTTTTTTTGGGACACCTCCCAATAACAAACACTAACAATGCTTCTGAGTTGATGGAATCAACTGCTAGTTACAGTTGAATGTTAGTATGTGTTTTAAAGCCTGCCGAAGAACAAAGATTCGATGATTACATCCATGGCTAGGTATGGAACCAGTCTCATACCCATTTTTGTACTGTATTACGATTCTTTCGTAAACAAATTCTAATGACTCAAATTCTTTATAATGGGGGCCAGTTATATTCTAAAAATACGCGATTCCTATTCTAAAGATGAAAAAACAATCTTTTTTTCATGAGCGGAAGCCATACTACTTTTTTTCGTGGAAATAGAATTTTCATTGCATAAATTTCTTCTTTTTACACTTCACAGTATTTCTCCACTAATGAGTGACCAGTAACTTACCTGTGGTTATTTCCCGCTATTGTTTATGCGGTGTTCCTAAATACACTTCACCTTTTCAAATTGCTTTGAATCGTCCTCGACTTTTTTATTTGTTGGGATGAATAGGGGTATTAATTAGATTACGATGTATGTTCCTAGCCTGTTATATAAATATTGCCCTTTCTGTCAACAAGTGAACTTCATCTTTTTAATTCGAATTCCTGAACATTCCCATCCACCCCGCTATCGAGTTGTGATTGTTAAACAAGCAATGTTTAGGATGTAACATATATCAACATTAATAAGTCCTTGTATGACACTCATCAAATAACAAAGGTTTCTTATTATGATTATTGTCAAAGTTCTAATATTTTAATTTAAGGTTTTGTGGATGTTAACTTGATTTATTGGTGGTGTTAATCACAAGTTGATGTCATTTAGGAGGTGGTGACTTGGATAACGATGGTCTAATAATTAAAGAGTTGAATTCCAACTAATGGGTCTCATTTCCGAGTCCCTCTCCACATACTTCGGCTTGAGCAGCCGGGTAATGTCACCACCTCCCACACACAGTTTGTAGTTCAAAGCGGAGTACGTAAATCTGTAGTTAGTCAGTGAGTTATTTGCATTTACTGAGAACCCAATAGAGCCGAATGGTTGTCTCATTACAGTACGAAATTCATAAATACTGTGCCGTTGACACTGATCGGACCCATGGGCTTCAAATCCCACATTGAGTGTGTTACCTTTAGGCCACTAAATTAGGATCCAATGGTACCCTAATTAAGGTGTCAATCTGTAATGTATCCTATCTCCAAACATAATAATATCAATTCTAACTGTTTTAATTAATTAATCTTACATTAAAAAAAATTTTTTTTTAGCTGGAACATTTACTCGCATTTATCCAAATCAGTATGTTTTCCCTGGTGCTGAAATATATTTAGACAGTAAACCCGGTGAAGTAACGATCTCATGTAATGCCTCAGATATCTCTATTACGTCGAATGCATCATCAGCATCGTCTACTTCCGGTCATAATGATGACTTAGATCAGTTAAGAGATTCACTTAAAGATGAATCTGTTTCCATTGATATAACTGAAAAAGAAGAGTCCAGTATTCATTCATCTGATTCGCGTAAATCTTTAAAACGGCATAATTCCAATGAGAATCTGTCTTTGAATAAACAATCATCGTTAAAACAACCTCGATCTATGTAAAACAAATAACCAAATAAAAAGAAAGTAAAATGGAAGACATGAAAATCATTCAGTAAAGAAGTAGAAAAGAAAACAGTGAAAATGAATCTCATTCAAAGACGACAACAAAAAGCTTGTTAGCTATTTTTATTCTTTTTCGGCTCATCCCATTGTTGCTTATATCCGTAAATTTTTGTGTAAATAATAAATATATATATCACATATTTTGTGTGCTTATTTTTATTCTTTACCGATATATGTGTGTATATCCTTCTTTTTTTTCAATGGAACATTTCGTGACTACCTGTTTATGACCACTTTTCAATGAGTTAAATTAATTCACACATTGTTAATATAGATTCTGTAAAAAAAAAAGAGGAACGAAGATTATAATGATAATTATTATCAGTATTTTCTTTCAAACACGTTTCCATGTATGTTTCTCACTTATTTTATTTGAAAAAGTTCTTCCCTATTTCCTTTCCCACTTATTATTACATTATTCATGATGAATTTTGAACATGTTTTTCTATGCATTTGTTGTACACTATAAACTTATTTTCTCGGTTATTGTTTTACAAACAATTATTATATTAACAAGTTCTTAAGAGATAAATATTGCTTTTTTAAATTTAATGGAACAATATGTCATCGTTTAGCAATTTATGCATATGTTATTCACGTAAAACTAATCTTGAAATAGTTTACATCACAGTGTATTGACAATTATAAAAAAATCTCATGCGTTGTATCTTATTCTAATTAGTATAGGAGTATGTGAAGATTGCTGAATTTTCATAGATTACATCGTAGATTGATCTTAGATAACTATAGAAAACCAAGAAGCACTGGACATCTGTTTTTTTTTTAGTATGGGACTACTCGGCAATGTACATCAAACCGGGGATGGAATCTAGGATCTTCGGTTTCACGAGTGCTTGACCTCTAGATCGTTGAACAGTCATTCATTAGTGTACGTGTCTAACTTATGACGATTTGATATATTGGAAAAACAAAAGGACTGGTTTAAATTTGTTGTTCAAGCCTTCTTCCACATAATCATACAGTTTTTAACGCTTTTCACTCTTCAAACTGGTCGTCCAATAATATTGGTAATTTTAAAAATGATAGAATAGTTTAATATTGTTTTAAGATGGACATAAAAGCCAATAACATGTGCACTGATTACCTTCCTAATAACAATGGACTCCAGTAATCACTAATACGGATTCAAGTTTAAACGTGGTTACGATCAGAGATTATTCTATAGTATCAGGATACTATATCATCATTTATTTCGGAGGAAGAAGTGTCCACGTAAATATTTGGAGCAAATGTTTCGATAATACTTGAACTAACCACTATTTCTTCAAAATATTTATTGTCATACCTTCAAAATTTGTCTTTAGGGCTAAGCAAAATAGTTGTTTTTAAGTCAGTGATAAATTAAGGATTTCATGCCTCTTTACCTTATAATGTGATAAATTTCTGAATCCTTTAGTATTTAAACATGCCCCGACCTACGTTGTCTTGGGCAACTGGATTGTGTCTACTACTGTGACACAGGCAGTCTACAGTTAAGCACTTAGATTTATTATGACTACTGTCCAGTTTTATTTATACTAGGTATAGTACAGATGGAAGATTAAGTGATTCAAATCTCCATTTATTTATATTTCAGATAAGTCATACTACTAGATATTTCCAAATCTTTATGCGTAATTATTTCTAATATCATCCCAGCATTTCTCCCAAAGGTACTTGTAGTAGTAATCATGCTTGTAACTTGTTACCATAAACATTTCTTAATTATATCACAGTTTCAATAATATCCTTCTAAAGTTTTATTGTCAAATCTATTTAAAGTTAGTGTACTTTTCGATGTTGTTGAATACCCACTTATATGATAATGATGTTGAGTTTAAACTTCAATTTGAAACGGGAACTTCTCTACTGATTTCTTTTACAATTAAGTAGGTAGATCTTAATAAAAAGTAATTTGTTTAAGGTAGTCACAACAAGAATTAAGTGAGCCGGTATGGATAATAATATATAGCGCAAATGTTTATTGTGTCATTTTGACGGAGTTTCGTTCTTTGAGTTGGAAGACGAAACTCCACCAAAATCGTCTATTTGAACTACAAATTTTTACCATCTCATGTATTGGCTCAGGTCGTCGTATTATATACAATGAAAGAAAATTACCAAAAAGAAAAGAAATAGGAAAGTAACCTAATCTGACTTGTGAGGAAACGGATCATGATATTTATTCTCTGAATGGAAGCTACTTTGTCCATCTTGTAATAATTTCTTTCAAAAATTAAAATAATCATGATGAGATTTAATTCACATGATAACTATAAAAGTGTTGTGAATTCACGACTACTTTGAAGATGTCTATATGCTACCATTACAATGGATCATCCTATTTATTTAGATAAAAATATATCAACGACATACGAATTGATTCATTTTCAGAATATGAACATAGTAACCAGTTCACTCCAATCCTTGAAGATACTTATCCTCTTCTAGGCGATTATAATTTTCCAGTAATCCAACCATATCGTTTCTCAGAAACAATCAATATTTAAAATCCATTGATGTCAAGTGATTGAAGGCACATGAGAGAAACCCTATGTGGATTCATGTTTCACGTCAGTTAGCGATACCGACTAGTCAGTTACCTTTCGCTTTTACAAAATACTTTTTACAAGTACGGAAAATTAGAAAGAATCGTTAAGTTGAATTCAAGCTTACACTCTACTTCCCAATAATCTATCGGTGTAAAACTTTGTTCATGAACAATCTCCTCTTAGAAAGATTACTTCCAAGAAAAAAATCTATAGACATCATTAATATAGATGTATTTCTATTTTCATATAATAACAATAAGAGAACTTTTTTTTTACAACAGAAATTGAATGATACAAGCGTATGAAGGAATCTCGGAAAACACATAAAGATAATGAGAAATACAGAATAACTAAATAGTTCATCACATAAAATAAAAAGAGATAAATAAAAGATCACAAGATAAAATATTCATAAGAACAAATGAAATAACAAAAATTAACTTGAATTCATAAGTAGATACAATGAAAGTTATTAGCACAAAATAATGGCAGCTGTATGTTAATTAATATAATATTAGAATTAATAAAGACAAATATGACAACAACGCTATTTGATTGATCTAACCACCGCCCATTCACCGCATACCGCCTCTTTGACCTATTCATTCAATTGATCAAATAATTAACCCATTCCCAATAATAAAACACATAAAATCTAGAAATCACTTTTGTAGACACTTTTTTTTAAAAACGATATGTAAATGTTTTTGCAATTACTGTTGTTGTTGTTGCTACGTCATTCGGAACAAAGAGTGTAAAGGAAGAAATATAAGTGAACTATTCGTTATTTAATAAAAATAAAAAAGGGCATTTGTCTCATAAAAGCAATTTTTCAAGTGCACATTATCTAATATTCTTATTTATTTATACAATAAGTAAGTAGATTTTATCTTCAAATCTGTGATGTGTAAAGCAAAATGAATAGAAAAAAAGGAGGAAAAAAGAACACAAAAAAAAGAATAATACAACACACAATAAATAATAAACTCTACTTCCAATAAAATAAATGATAATGTGATTAAATAAAAGAAAATAAATTCGAAAAAGAAATGAACGAAAGTAACCATTTTTAAGTGGTCAAGGTAAATGTTGATATACACATTTAGTTGAATTCAAATAAACAATTAATAAACAGTATTTCACATAGATTTATCATTATTATTATTATTGTTATCATTTGTAGTGTCAGCATCAGTGGTAACGTCAATTAATTCTGTCGATTGTTGATAGTTTAAATTGTCAGTGTTTAGATTAGTTTGTAATAAAGGAATTTTAGATTTTGATAACATATCTATACGTGAATTATTACAAGTTGAACCGGGCATAGTTACAGAATCTTTATTTGTTTTCGTATTGGATTGAATTAAATTAAGATCAGTTGGTAATGAATCATTTCTAGGTGAGGATGTAGCAAGTTGAGATTTGGACATTGTTTTACTTATTTGAGGTAAATGTTCAGATTGAATGACACCTAAAAAAGTATTGAAAAAAAACATTAAAAAAAAAAGAAACAGTTCAGTACAACTTTTGGCAACAAAAACTCAATAAGTCAGTTGAACATAATCAACTTAGCACCTGGTACCAATTGACATCAGTTCCAATACCTACACCACAACAACAAGAATAAAGAATATGGAATGGAAGCTATAGAATTTAGTAAACAGTTACTAGATAAATGCAGTCAAGACTTTGTTATAAATATTGCATTTACTGTATGAATTAAATGAGATCCAATTTAATCAACAAAATTTATGCAATCTCATCTTGACATCAGTAAACTACCTTTAACATGATAAAATTATGATTTATCCAATTCTAAAGTAAAATATCACTGATACTAATCATCTTCTTACAGGTGAGTACAAAAAGAAATTTAAATGTCAAATAATTACTATTGCGAATTCATATATTAATTACATTATCCAATTGATGATTCGTTTGATTAAAACCAATTTTTCTTTCAACAGTATTCTGTTATCAGAAGGGGTTTGTGGAGATTTTAGAAATTTTCACAAATTTAAATCATGAGTCAGTTGAAGCTAGACCACCATGGAAAACCTGGAAGTACTGGAGGCCGTTTCGTCCCAGTATGGGACTCCTCAGCGGCGCGCATCCACGGTTCCACACCAATCGGGGCTCGAACCCAGGACCTACTGGCTTCGCGCGCGAACACTTAACCATTAGACCACTGAGCCGGCATCCAACGGTGTTAATGTCTAACTTCAACCAATCCACGAAGTTGCGCCACCATATACCATTGTCTTCAGTGAGCTGATATCTCACAACAGACCTGGTTGAACTCCACTGGTAACGGCTTCCCACTAGAAAATTTTCTGTTAAATCATATCAATTTTCCCATCCGGTTCTACAATTATAAATCCAAATTAATAATCTATAAAATTGGCCAGATTTAAGGCAGAGTACATCATTTGGAAATTGTAATATGTGAATTAAGAATTGTTGTTTGTTATATCAAATCAAATCAATTCAGATCGTTAATGTTGGGACTGACTAATATGAAGTTGTTGACTTGAATCAATTTATAAGTGAAATAAAATTGTGAGATAAATAATGATCAGAATAAATATGGTCAACATGGAGTGAGAGAGAAAATAATGGAATAAAAATCGGGAATTGCGTAATACGTAGAATAATATGAATTAGGTCAGATATAGTAGATTTAGGGTTGAATACTGAATAAATTCCTCAAAAGGTTATCAAGTGTAACGATATTAATAATAATAATAATAATAATAATAATAATAATAATTCAAGTTAACACTTTATATTAAACAGCCCCAACATTAACCATCTGAATTGATTTTATATGATAAACAACAATTCTTGATTCATGTATTACAATGTCCAAATGATGTACTCTGCCTTAAATCTGACCAATTTTATTGATTATTAATCTGGATTTATAATTGTAGAACCTGATGAGAAATTATTGAAAAGAATATTCTTCGTTCATACAATTGTGTTTTAATATAACGGGGATTTTCCAGCTATATCAATTTTGTTTGTAGAATAGTTTAGACAGTGATCATAAACATTTAGTTTATTGAATAATAATAATATAAAGTTAATTTTTGTTTTTAATCATTTAAAAT